CTCCCTCTCCCTCCCTCTCCCTCTCCCTCCCTCTCTCTCCCTCTCTCTCCCTCTCTCTCTCCTTCTCCTTCTCCTTCTCTCTGTCTCCTATACTAACTGGTTTCCAATTGGAAGTAAGGATGTGTATCGCCCAAGGGGGGAAATAAAAAGGATGCTGACCCATCGAGGGAGGGAGGGAGGGGGTGGGAGAATCCAAATAGTATTTTTGTGGGGAAATATCTAATATACCTTCAGTCACCTGGACCGCCAGCCCTGGCTTTGGAAGATCAGTGAGATGAGTGGCCCAGCCCCGCGCCCTGCGCTAGCCCTCCATCCTGCTCAGGCGCCTGCGCTGAGGCCATCGAGGTCTTTATGAAAGCAGTATTTTCTGTGTTCTCCTTTTTAATTTACAGCGTTTCTTATTTTGATATTTTTTTAATGTTGTGGATGAATGCCAACTTTCCGATGGAGCCCACTTAGCCTGTCCACATGTGTTTCGATGCCAGCCCTCCATTCCTCCTCTCCAGATATTTTTGGGAGTAAACGAGCATTCTCTCATCGTACTTAGCCTACCTAGATTTCTCATGACGAGTTAATGCATGTCTGTGGTTGGGTGCACCTGTAGCTCTGTTTATTGGTCAGTGGAAATGAAAAAACAAAAAGTCTGCGTTCATTGCAGTTCACTTTCTCTTCATTCTGTGTCACAGACACCAACACACCACTCATTGGAAAATGGAAAAAAAAATAAAATAAAAATACAAAAAAATGTACAATGGATGCATTGAAATTATATGTAATTGTATAAATGGTGCAACAGTAATAAAGTAAAACAATTAAAAAAAGAAGTAAGAAAGACTCTGGGTTTTCTTTTCCATTCCCTTCTTCCCCCATCCGAAACCTTAGTAAATCCATCCTTAGAGACTGGAACACTGCACTGGGTACTTTTCTTTCCTGAATATATTTGGGTGGAAGTACAAGGCAGGATCTGCCAATCTTTTGGGCATTATCTTTAGCAAAAACAGTTGCATCAGAGTTAATAAATTGTCTCAGTGAAGATGCTAAACCAACAACTGTGTCTGTGTGTAATCATCCTATGAAAGTGTGAGTGTAATTACTTTAAAAGAACAAGGATTGTGAATGCAACATTAAAGGGCAATAAATAGGTTTGCTCTTGAAGGGTGGGGAGGAAAGAATAACAGATCTTCCCGAGCATCCTACAGGTACAAGGTGGGCAGCTCTGGGGCAGCTGTTCTACCCAGCCCCCACCACTTTTATCGTATTCCTGCCAGAGCCAGTGTGGTGGGCCAGGCGAGGGGACAGCAGCCTGGTGAAAGCAGGCATCACGTGGCCTTTATGGGGACAGGATCACTGTCCTGGCTTTGCAGAGAGAGGCTCCTGTGGTTGCAAGTCACCTCCAACCCCTCCAGCCCTCCCTTGGTTCCCTAGCAGAGCAGCGCTTGTGGGCCCTGAGGCAAGGCTCGCTGGGCTCTGAGACGTAGAGTGGCTTGTGACCATGGCCGGCATGATGCATACCGATGCGTACCGTGGGGAGACCTGGTGCCTCCCCCGCCTACCCTTTCCTCCAGTCCCTGAATGGTGACCATTTCTGTCCTCAGCGTCCCTCTGTGTAACAGATGCCGAAGGGCCTGGAGAACTTGGCTTTGCGGAAGGACCAGGGATGCCCGCCAGTTCTTGAATGCAAGAATGGGTCTCCTGGTAGTATTTTTCAATTTGATGTTGGAAACAAAACTTTCGAGTGTAAAACATTTTTGTAAAAGGGTGGAATCCTCATCACTACAGAGGTTTCACGTGCTTGAAGCAGAGACACGGCAGGTTTGGAGGTAATGTGCAGAATAGTGAGTAACATTTTAGTATTTTAGAGAACTAATGAGGAATTTTCCTTTTGGATTTGTGAAGGCCACGGTAAAGGGACTCATTCCCAAAGGGACATTAAGGATGTGGTGGATGGAAATGAACCTGGCTCCGTTCTTGTAGACTCCTTTACACAGAAGTAAAAGAGGGAAAAGATGCCTTCTCCAAGCCTTTCCTGAGCACCCTGCAGCCTGTACCACACCTAAGATGTTGCCAGGGGTAACAACTGGGGAAAGAGAAATGATGAAACGGAGTATTAGGCAAACATACCTGGAGGTTCAATTCATGTTCCCGATCACTTTTTGGCACGTAGGGTTCTTGTTTCTATAGTGAAATGAATTTGAACTTTTAATGCTTGAAAGCACAGCACATAAGAACTGTAAACACATTAACCACCGAGCAACTGTTTTAGGTAAGAAAAACAACAAGGGGATGTCCAGATTATCACCAGCGTGTCCGAAAATAAATAAAATCACTTGTGAGAGGGTTGCTGGTGGTAGGGAGAAGGAGATTCAATAGACGGTGGGCAACATTTATATAGTACTAATTTTTATTTTTAAAAAGTTAAAATGTTTAAATTCTTAAAAAATTTAAATTTATTTAAACAGTTATTGCTCTGAACTGTCAGGCTTTTTTACAGCAAAATGTGCTTTAGTGGAAGTAATGTTATAACTCCACCATCTTTTTAAATTAAAAAGATTATAAATATATTAGGTATTTGTTGACTAGGAGATTAAAATCAGCCTCCTAGGATAGCATTTATTACAAATTGCCAGTGAGGAATGAGGTAAGAGGATTATTTTCTTTATACATAAGAGTTATTGGGTAAGGTACAGAAGAACTAAAATTGAGCTATATGTATTTATTTTTCTCTCTTTTTTTTTTTTTGGTACTGGGGATCGAACTTGGGTCCTTGTGCTTGCAAGGCAGACAGCAGAACCACTGAGCTAAATCCTCGGCCCTTATTTTTCTCTTTTTAAACTAGCAATTGTTCAGGCAATTAAAGGGTTCAGAAATGTGGTCACCACACAAACTGGAATCTTAACCTAACTAAAATTTGTGATGTTTAATTTTACCATTCCTAAGCAAAAACATCTGAGGGTGCAGTCGGACATTGTGTATTGAGCAGAAAATGCTGCTCGCCTGCAGAGACTGGCTTAGCTAGGAAACGGTCAGTGTCAGACACATGTGTCAATTTTGGATTCAACTAAATTGTTTCCTCCTCTGAAATGATTTAAAATGGAGGAAGGGCCCCGAGGGCTGTGTGGACAGGCAGGTGAGAACATCTGGGAACATGCACGTACCGGCTTCACTAACTTCGCATGTCTGCTCTGTGACGAATGATGGTTCCCAGTGTGACATGCGTTGGCGTGTGTGCACATCGCAAGGGGGAAACAAGGCAGAATCCAGTGTGTCCACGGTTACCGGGTTTGTCCCTCCACTCAGAAGGTCCTGTCCTCTCTCTGACACTGCCTTTGCATGAAGATGGACCCGAGTGTTGGAGAGCCCAGCTGTGCTGTGCATACTGGGTGCCCTCAACTCTCAAGAAGGCCACCCACCCTCCACTCAGTCCTGGCCTGTGAGGCCGCAGCCACACGGGCACAAGCCAGGAACATTGCTCCCCACTCCTGGAGCACCCCTGTCCTGAGTGGGGCAGACCGAAGTCCAGTGGGCAGTAAGGACATGTGGTCCACTGTCGACCTGCCAGACGTGGGTAAGTTACTAGGTGCCCACAAAGCCCTGTACTGCGATACTACACGGGGTTCTGTTTTCATAAAGCATCCTGGAATTTAATTTCCACCAAAGCAAACTTTATGGTATATTGCAACAAGATTTTTCACTGAAACATAGAACCTAACAAAGTTTACTGTCATTGCTGGCCCTTGACACCAATCTTACATGGTTCTTCTACAGATAGAAGACTTTGACAGACAGCAAATTTCAGCCATTTCATTTATGGAGGAAAAAGAATCTGCAAAGCTTGTAGTTCTGGTGTTGTCCAGCTTCTTGTGTTAGGAGTGATGAGTAGTACTAAGCCCCATGCTTTCGATTTCTGTTCTACAGTGGAGTTATTCTGAGCTTTATTTTAACTAATTTGTACAGTCTTGAAAACTGGATGCTCACAGGGGCGAGCTTAAATAAACCAAACAGCATCACCCCTAATAGCTGTGGGATTTATGACACGAGGTTTTATGTGCATCCTTATAAAAGAAGGCAAAGAATGCTTGAGTTGTAGCTGATGCTATTTTATGCTGCCAGGTACTTTATACTTTACACATTTAACTCAGGGTTGGTTCTTCAGCTAGGGTGTCAGAATCTTTATTTTGTATTTTTTTACTCTATCTGCTAATGGAAAAGTAAACATAAAAAGGAAACTGTAAGGAGATTTTCTATGAAGAAGAGGTTTTTGAGTTTTAAAACAAGGCATTCTTTATGATAAGCCTATATCTTTCTGCCTTTTTAATGGCAGAGATTTTACTGGTATATAAAATCCCAAATTCCAGGATCTTCAATGTCTCAGTATGTTTCTCCAAGTTTTTTTTTAGTCTTCACCTTATAAAGAGGAATTTTTATTCTGAAGCTGTATTGCTTCTCTTCACATGCATGCTTAAGGAAATTCGTAGAGGGAATATCTTTTTGAAAAATGACTGTGATCTTCGAAGAAAAATCCTAGTACAGTTGCACACGTTGAAATAGAAAAAAATCAAATAAAAAGTATCTCTTTCTCTCATATAGATTTGGCCTTCCTGTTTTCCTACGGTGTGGACATCTCATTTGTTCATTTTGCTCTCTTTGAAGATAATCTTACATTTCCAAGAAAATTTATTTTTAATATTCATATATGGAAATATCAATTGACAAAAAGATGAGAGGACAGACATGGATTTGAGTCATTTAGAGAACACTCATAGTTGCTTTCTTTACATGTTTTTTGCTTATTTTGTTCAGAATTAAGAGACTAAGAGTAAATAGTTCTCAATAAACATTCTGTTTTGGGAGAATTCCCATCTTATGTATGATTTTTATATATACTTCACTAATCCTTAAACAGTTTCAGATAGTAAAGCAAGACATTGTTAATCTAAAGCCTTCCCTCGACTCCTGGATATAGAAATGTATACTAAAGCTTAAAAGAAAAGCAATTTTCTAAAATTTATATAGATATTGCGGTAAATTAAAAAAAATATTAAAGACCAAGTTTTGAAGTCTAGAAAGAAATGATCATTATTGGCATTTCCATTTCCTTTTGGCTTTTCAAGCTATGGATTTATTCAAGCAGAAAACATGTGTGCATAGGTACCGAAGCCTATTGGCTGGCAGTGGAATGCTAAATCCTTGATGTCAACTGGATTGTAGCATCTAGGAACCACACAGCCAGAAAGGCAGGTACAGTGCTCTTACTCAAAGGAGAAAAGGCATCTATTTTACCCCGAGGAAATACAAAGTTTGCTTGGAACACATTTTTGTTAACAAAGAGGACCTCCAACAAAAGAAAAAAAGTCCTCTAGCCTTTCCTCTAAAAAGAAAGCAATCCTCTTAATGGAAGAGAAAGGCTACATTTCAGTTTCAGTACTTTGCTGACAGAAATGGTCCAGTTTTGAATTTTGCCGAGAAAAGGAGATGACATGTCTCATTTGCACAGGTTTGAGGAGTTTGACAGGTGAGCCCCATTAAAAGAAACAACCCTATGGTCCTGTGGCAGCAGCGAACAGTTTCTGTCCCCCTCTGCTAGCTCAGACAGCCAAGAATAGTGTTCACACTCAGGCGGAACCACCCACTGCAGCGCCCAGTCTGACTAGTATGCAAATTACCCAGCGGTGGGTTTGCTTTTTTCCTTTAATTTTTTAAAGCTGAGAATAATAGAGACTATATTTTGCTTGCTATCTATTAGGTGCCTTCTCTTTCAGGCAGGAAATTTCAGGAGCTGAGACTGCTCTGGTGTTCAGAGTAAATACTACTAACTTGAAG